GAACTTTTTACCGAGAGTTTTTTTTTACGCCGGCTTTACGCCGGCTTTACCCTCTGTCTTCTTTGCCGATGAGTTGTCTGCAGTTTCAAATTTAATGACGTGGAATAAGTGATACCTGTATTTTATGTTCCATAAAAAACATATTTTATTTTATTTATTTTATTCTGGGTCCTGTTTGTCTAACTATGGTCCACGCACAACGGACCGAATGGGCGAATCCAAGTGCGGAAAGTGAGTCCACACTACATACTATGTTCGGAATTATGCGTACGGAGAAAATATCGTGAGCAAATCGAGGTGTCTAAGATCGATAATATGTATGAAATAGAAGAATTTTCGTGCTACCATTTTCATACATTGAGGCTAAATCGTACGACCAGATTTATTACCTCGGACTGTTGTTATATTTCTTGTATTCTGAATTAATATCACTGTCATATATATATCGTTTGATTTGTATTTTCACAGATAAACCCTGTATTTTTAAAATAGTTTGTTAGTTGAATAACCTCCAAAAATATTTGGAACATGTATATTTTTTATTCTTAGATTTAGAATATTCTTATAAAATGTGTAGTCATCCTACACGAATGACTCAAAACTCAGTGACGGCGTACTGTACTTTGTCAGGTGTATTAATACCTTGTTCTATTATTACAAAAAAAACCCTGGGAAGGGAATAAAAATTAAAATACTTCATTAAACTAATACAATTTTAAAATAAAAATTGACATAACCCAGTAACTGAAGCCATTTAAACGTTTAAAAAAAGGCACTACACTGCATAGTCAAGCATGGTTACTATGTGTAACCCACAGCCGTATTCTTAATTCACTATTATAAATTATTTAAAATTATTATTCTTTAAAATGTTTACGGACTATGGAAAAAGGGTTATTACTTACGAGCTTATTATTATTATTACTTTGTACAATCCCAGATTATTTGTACTTATTAACTTGTTTCTTTATAAATGATTAATAATAATTTTGAAATCATACTTTAATCGTTCAAAGTGAACATTATTTTACTAAAATTAATAAAAAAGTGTTGTTTGGAACACTTTGGAGTAGACTTGTAGTTAGTACCGGAGACCCCAGAGCTGGTGCTTTCCTCGCTCAACGAATAAGTGTCGCATACAGCGAGAAAATGCTGACAGCGTTAAAAGTACCGTACACTGCCACAGGGACCAAAATTTTAAAATTTTCTTTTTATTAATTTTAAATTATTTTTATTGTAGGTTAAGAAAATTTTAAATACTGTATATTTGATAAACGATATAATTACATTTTATAAGAGTGATTTTCACAATCTTTTTGATTAATTATATATAAACCTCTCCCAATTAGATCTATGGTGACTTAACATTCTTAATCAATGCTTCTAAGTAGTGTTGTGTCTATTAAAGCATTCACCGGAATAAAAACATTCTTATCAATTAACGTTGTTTCCTGCGGGCGTTATCTTTTCCTCTGACTCATTTGACTACTAATATGACGTATCGTAAATTTAACCTACATATTGTGTAAGCATTTAACTAGTAATAGTAGAGATGTGGAATCTCTATGGATCTTCTAAGTTTAAGGAATTAAATATTATGACACTATCTGGTCAATATATTCTTGAAGCCTTGCCTATGTACAAAAAATATAAACGATTTTAAAACGAATGGTGACTTTCACCAGTATAATACGCGAAATAGAACTAATTTCAGTGTACGACAAACCAGGCTCCAGAAGATAAACCACTCCTTATATGGAAATTGTATTCGTTTTTACAACAAACTCCCAAGCGAAATTTGAGAATTCTCACTAAATAAACTAAAAGCCCTCGTTCAACGTAAATTAATCAATAAAACTTTTATAAATTTGACGAATACTTAAATGATCCAAATCCTTGGGATTAATTTGCCCCAGTTCAAACAATTTGTATGACTCAAAACTTAGCGATTAAAAAGAGTGGCGGAAAGTTTCTTGCCAGTTCTTCTTGCCCGCTCTACGCCCTTGACTTGCGAACTGGTAGTAAATGTAAATTTACAATTAATTTAACAGCTTTTTTGACGTTTTTAAGTGTACTTGTTTACCTAGATAAATAAAGATATTTTGAGTTTGAGTTTGAAAGTGCATAGTGCATACCAATTGTTGAAAGGCCGCACTTGCGAGCCTTGTGGCAATGAAAGTGTGCGTTATCACTTAACTTCAGGTGAGCATCCGACCCGTTCCGGCTTAAAAAAAATCGAATGTGCGGTCGAACATTGTTTGAAATTTAATACATTTAATTATATAATAATAATACGGATGTTGGCTATCTTGAGGAGGTCCTTAATTTTATGATTTTTTCTTTAATTCTCTTAGCGTGACCAATCTATACAAATAAGAAATTGTAATGTTGACAGTTGAATTACAATATACAAAACTAGCGAATTCGACAGACGTTGTCCTCTCCACACGTCTTACGTACAAAAAACAGTACATCAGTACAGTAGAATTATATATACTGGGTGGCGCAAAAGTAAAGACCCTATTTGGTTCAGCTATAACATTTTTTACAAATTAGAAAACTAGATTTAGGTTGTTTTAAATGTATATTTGTGCTATTAAATTTCGTACCATTAGGATTTGAAGATGATGTCTTTTAAATGGTGACCTCCAGAGTTGATGCACATTTGAGCCCTATTTATGACATTTTGCATAACTTGCCGTAATACTTCCTGCGATATGTTCCTTATTTCTTGATGACTGTTTTCTTTTAGAGCTGCGAGAGTCTGTGGCTTGTTCACATACACCCGAGATTTCAAAAAACCCCAAAGAAAGAAGTCTGGACTGGTCAGACCGGGTGATCTTGCAGGCCAAGGCAAATCGCCAAAACGAGAGATAACTCGGCCTGGAAAAGCGAGTTTACGTTTTATTTCACGTTCTTGGGGAGTAAAACGGTCCATGTTTATTTTCAGTGTATTTTACATTTGTTAACTACACAATTCTCAACAACAGAATGATAGGAATTGTCCGATAAAAAAAATAAACAAATTTTCTTTAGTGCCAGTACTTTTGCGCCACCCAGTATATGTAAAGATAATGATGTTTGTTAATCACAGTCTTATTAAAGCGCCGTGACTTACAGCATGCAGTCTGCATTACCCTACCATCTTTATTTATCTATACGCGGCTAAAACAGAAAACTTGTCTCATGTATAAGTGCGTTATATTTAGACGTGAAATATGTATGTAAATGGGGGGAGCTATTTGCGTTGCACTCGACATTCTGTTTGCAATCGCAATGCAGATTACAGCTCCACAAGTCAGGATAAATAACCCTCAAATATGATTTATTACCTAAATTATATTATTTTATTACCTAATATTTAAAATTCTCGTGTCACAATGTTCGTTACCATACTTCTCCGAAACGGCTCGACCGATTCTTATGAAATTTTTATGCATATTCAGTAAGTTTGAGAATCGGCTACTACCTATATTGCACATCCCTAAATGGTAAGGGTGGACCACCCCTAAATTTTTATTTTTGAGATAAAGTTCTTTGTTTTTTTTATGATACAGCAGACAAAAATACACACAACCCTTAATTTTCACCCCTCTACGATCAACCCCAATTTTTTATATGTTAGTTAAAATCTTATGACTTGAACTCTGAGGTTTATATAGGTAAAAATTAAAACAGTCTCTGGGCTAGCATAGCAAAATCTTCCATGTTGTTATGTACAAAAAAGGTAGGCTAAGTAAATTCACATTAAGGAGAAACGAAATTCGCGGGGGCAGCTAGTCATATTATAATAATATATTCCTTATTGGTGTTGGCCTAGTAGCTTCAGCGTCCGTCTCTGATCCCTGACGTCGTATGTTTGAACCTCGGTTGTGCACCAATGGGCTTTCTACGTGCGCATTTAACACCGAGGTCATCGAGAAGTAACCGGCGTGCCTTGGGCTCCTAAAGTGGACGGCGTGTGTCAGGCACAGAAGGATTAACTTCTTGCCTATTAGAAAAAGCAAAAAATTTACACGATAGGAATACAGAAATTTATTACCAAGACTAAAGTCTGTAGGCCTTAGAAACCTTCCGTGCATTCCTTTAGTATTACACGGTCAACACGTAAAATTGAATAAGTTTGAATAAATTAAAAAAAAAACGATACATTTTTGTATGGAAAACTGAAAAAGCACTAAAAGGGCGTAATATCAAAACGTAAGCAAAAACAAATGAATACGTTAAAAGAGAACATTGCTCTTATGAGGCAAAACTGATGCAGAAATCCATTTGCCCCATACCCAATTGGGGGGTAATAGGACTTCATATTGTAATACCAATAACATGTCTTCTAATATCAATCAACGACAACGGATGTCTGGATCATCTGACATGGATCATTGCTTTGAATTCAATTACTAAGCATTGTCTGCGCATACGCATATACAATGTACTAATTAGTAATCGATAGCGTAACAAAATAATATTCTACTAATAATACACAATTATTATTTACCATTGATTCAATAGGATTAGGCGTAGGAAAGGTAAATTTTGAAGGTAGTTCCCCGTTGTTCACTGTTCTTATCTGTGATTAATTCAGAAAAAGTAATTCAAAAGCCATCCAAGGATGGTCCACTCTGTGATTAGGTCTAAGCCTCAGACATATTTATTTATTTATACTTTATTACCTTATACAAAATCATACATATAAAAAAATATAAAAAGCAGGTTACATAAGTTATAAGGCAACGGGCGACCTTATCGCCAACAGGCGATTTCTTCCAGGTAACCCTAACATTTAAAAAGAAACACCTACAGAGGGTTAAGGTACATGAAGTGCATAAAGAATTAACAAAAAAAAAACTCAAAATAACACGTAACTATAACTAAAATAAAATAAAGTCAAAGAAAAAATAAAAATTTAAATGCCAATCAAAAGGTTAACTGAGTCACAATAATTAATACGAAAAGGAATATGGTGAATTAGGAAACTAATTATTAATTTCTTATTATAGGAAAACCTGCAAGTCTTGTGGTTGCGATCGTCTTAAGCACTCCGTGTACCATGAAGAGTTGGGCTCAGTCAGGGACCGACTTGGTCTTCGGGAAACGCGTGGTCACCATGCATACGACAACAGCCCACCTGGACTCACTGCCAAGCAGGTACTAATATTTTATAGTTTTCCGGCACCCAACAATTAAAATTGGTCTCATGTTTCGCATAGTGCCTTTATTGTCTTATAAGTTTGAACCCCGGAAAAGCAACAATCGACTTTCAGTCTAAGTGCGCATTTAACACTCGCACACTGAAAACATGACGATGCATAAAAGCCAATGGCGTGTCAGGCATAGAAGCCTGATCACCTACTTGCCTATTCGATGAAAAGAAATGATTACAAAACATACAGTTTGTCTTGCCAGTCTTTTTTTCACTTGCGAGGCCGTTGTCTCGCTTATCGTGGAAGCTATGATTATTTTATACAACGGCTGATAAAAATATTATCCATATAGAAATAAAGGATGAAAAGGTGCATTTCGTTTCATTGTTATTAGTCAAGAACCGTTCCTACATGTATCGTGTGTCTATCTTTAACCTTTGACATACACAACTATAATCACAATAAAACTAGACGCCCCACTATGTCGTCTTTTGTTTGAAATGTTCAGCCCCCCTTTACATTCTCACCTTCCGTAAGATGAGGTGAGATCGAGAAATTTGTTACGATATTAATATAAGACCTACGTAGTAACCTAACAACGCGAAGTTGATCTGTTGATAGGCAGCAGGGGAGTGTCAAGTCTCCCTTTTCCTAAAAAGGGACTTTATTTGCTTAAAAGGCTTGGCGTCTCCCGCCAGGCAATAACTATACCGGAAATATCCTCATGATATTTATGGGCAAAATGTAGTCCACTTAGTTCTTGTGCTATTTATATTTTTGACATATTTGACAATTATATAGCCGAATTTTTACAACTGCTATCTGTGCTCAAGCTCCAGATCGCAACTGGCTTTTTCGTAAGTCGGACAGTCGTTACATTATACACTTAACAATGTTTCTTACAGACAGAACTGTACTGGTCATCACTAGCCGAGCGTGCCCCAACAATAGGAGGCGCCACGGGCACAGCAGCATGGCGCGCGTGGAGAACACGGGCCCTTGCGACTCAGCTTCCAAAGCAGGATCTATCACTAGAACATTGTAGAAATATAGACGAAACCCACCATAAGCAGTTCGAAGATTTTGTTGCAGCTAGGAATGAAATCGCGTTGGATATAGGTAAGCGCCATCTAGGTTTTCTACCGCATACCGTCGATGGACTTAAACTGAGGACAGGACAATCAGATAAATAAAACCTTATAACTAATATTGAATATTCGTTTCACGGACTAATATAGTCTGCGTATAAAACATTAATTATACAATACTTAGGTTTACTTTTCGATTTTAAATGTATGTAATTTAAACGTAAGACGAATACTTCAAATATGTATAAATAAAAAAACAAAATACTTTTCTTATTGAAAGAATATACAATCATATCAATTTTATCGTTTAAAATCTTATCCCCAAATTGAATAAAACTACTGCAATAAGAACGGGTGTGCTTCTACGGGAATTATTCAACGTTTGTAAATAAACATTTCATTATTTTTTACAGGTATCGCTAGTCAATATCACGGAATATCAACAACCTGTTATGGGTGCTTGAAAAAAATAAGTACCGGCAGTATTGTAATTCAGGCTCCAAAGCTCGAAGAAGAGGTAAAGAAATATTCATTACTTTTTTCAGAATAAGCGCCATCTCTTGCTCATTAATAAAACACTACTGAGAACGAAGTTTTATTTTAGTTACACTATTTGACACTAGATGACAGGATGCCCAAACATTTCATAAATATTTAAATATAAAATATATAATACGTTTTATTTTTATAAGAGTTACAAATTCATTTGTTTTTAGGAATATTACCATCCTTCGTGTTTTTCGTGCTCGGTATGTGACGAATTGTTGGTGGAGCTCGCCTACTGCACGCTAGATGGCAGGCTCTTCTGCATCCGGCACTATGACGAACGGTTGAAGCCTAGGTGCCATGCCTGTGACGAGGTGAGTACTTTTTGTAAAAACAGAGTTTATACCATGTCCAAGTTCTTTAATTTTTGTTATACACTGTTTCACAACACCTTTAAACGTGAATTAAAGATTACTACCGGGCCACCAGCGTTACGATGTAAGGGAGCGTTCAAGTATTACGTAACGCAATTTTTGGAGATTAGTGACCCCCCTCATGTAACTCGCCGTAACGTTTTTCAGTACCCAAGTACAGTACTGTACGCAAGTATAGTAAAACGTTTCGTGGCCACCTAGTGACTCTTTAGTTACTATTATGTGGTGTAACGCGAAAAAAATATTAACAATAACGCGTAATTTAATCCCCGCCCCGCATCGTAACGTTTTGCAAAAGGACCCCACGCCTCCCAAAATTTGTAACGTTACTTGAACACTCCAAATAAAAAAATAAATTGTGCGTGTACTAGGTGTACACACGTAAGAAGTGAAACTCCTTTATGATCTTATTTTTCGAAAAATGATCTACTATATGCAACTTTACAGAAATTCGTTAAATTAGATAAAGTTTAACAAAAGGCTTTTATTATCATAGACATGAATACAAATATTTCATTTTACCTTATTACTACGAAGATTATTATAGAATTTCATTAATTGTAATAGAATTATTACTATCATTGAAAAACGTGACGATTTGCTACAAAATTTCTCCCATACGTCGATAAAGAAGTTTCATTCCAACGCCGATAAAGAAGTTTAACTTCAAAAAGCAACATGGCGCGTAACCGAAAAATGTGACGCGTAACGAAAAAATGTTACACTAAATTTTTTTTCCAACCTCGATAAAGAAGTTTCACTTCAATTAAAAAATATCGTACTAAATTTATTCCAATTTAAAAAACCGCAGGAGTTATAGATCAATAATATAAAAATAAATTCTATACAAATTTAATCAACACAACGTTTTGCTCTGACATAACTCCACTGGGAATAGATAGTTTAGTCATTGCTCGGTGTTATGTTAAATAAAATGCATACGACTGTTAGGTACTGGAATTACAATGCTTATATAAAAAGTTATATTTGTAAGGAAACCTAAATCCGCTGTACATTCAAGAACTCGCGTCGTGAAACAACTCAAAATGCTTTCATTACACCCTAAGCAAAACATAAAACCTGTGTTGACCTGGCTCAAACGTGTACCTATGAGAGAGGTATGAGAAAACCGGCGTCAGACAAAGAAATCTGATCGCCGACTTGTCTTGGGTTAGGTACTATTTCTATATATTAAACAATTAAAAGTACGAATTTGCCTCTATCTCTTAAAGTATGTTTACGCTGTGATGAAAAGAGACCGATCAGTGAACAGAAACTATACTTGATTTGTTTTTTATGTATGCAAGTATTTTAGGGAGCGTTCAAGTATTACGTCACGGAATTTATGGAGATTATTGATTACCCCCCATGTAACGCGCCGTAACGTTTCTCTGTACCCAAGTATAGTAAAACGTTTCGTGACCACCTAGTGATTCTTTATACTTAAAAGTTACCATTATGCGGTGTTAATTATTGGAAAGTCTAAATAATATTAACAATAACAATTCAATCCCCGCCCCGCAGCGTAACGTTTTATAAAAGGACACCCCCCCCAAAATCCGTTACGTAATACTTGAACGCTCCCTTACCGAAACATTTGTTAAAAATTGTATATGTAAAATCATCGCTGAAATTATTAGGAACGCGCCTTAACAAAAATAGGCAATGTAACCGAGAAATTTTTATTTTTTATCGTTATATGTTTCTCGCAATACGGCGACACGGCCGCAGGGACCCTTTTTAAATACTGTTATATTGTTAATATATACATATATTTTATTATATTTTTTAGACATTATCGTATTAGCGTAATAGGTATTGTACGGATGGTGTACATATATTTTTGTAAATAAATAAATGTTCGATCGATCTCATCTTGTCGAAAATTCGCGTTCTATTCAGCAATTGTAATGATTCATAATTATGCAACTTGCATGTTATTTCGGTCTGTCTCTATATAGGAAGCTGAGGGCTGCCAACTTGTAATCACTATTAATAATATTTGTTGATTAACGATTCAATATATGAACGTGATCAATGCATAGTAGCTTATTAATTATTTTTGAGCATATTTTATCATTCAAACAATTTTTGTAGGCAACGAACATTTATTGTGTTTAAAGTAGTCCAGTAGTTTTTGATTAACACGTACAAGAAAACCAATCTTACATCGACACTTCAAATTATTATTATTATTATTATTTATTAATAATTAATAATGACAATAAGCATAAAGCTATGTATTATACTGAGAGACTGGTGCTTGAAAAAGGTTGGGAAAACCTGTTATTATAGTGGCAAAAAGTATTGCTAATACAAGTTTTAAAAACGAACGAAAAAATATTACTTACTACTTACTAACTTTAATATTTTGATTAGAAATTCATCGGAAATAAGTGTCAGTTAACCCTTTTTTAAATAATTATTGTTTCGTTAGCTAACTTATGTAAGATAATTTCAAATGGCAAATAAAAATTTTAACTTTTCGAAGCTCTTCATCTAAAATTAGCTATATACCTATCCGCTTGACATTTAACAGACAATCTTAAGATACATTGTATAAACAAGATGCCGAGTCGAGTAATCGTTGTTCATTTGTTCAGGTGTTTTATTCCAGGAAAAAATGGCAGCCTGTATCGCGTCTCCATTTTGATTAGGTAAAATTTATAAAGATTAACAACTTCGCAATGGAAAAAATACAGTATCAGAAACAAATTACATTTAGAAAATTACTAAGTTGATTTTATGAGGCTTTTGATATTTAATAGCTATTGAAATCATTCTAATCTACAATACAATGGGGAACTATATCATAACGCAGAAAGAAAATTAATTATTAAACACTTATATTTTAAACTTAACTAATTCATTAGATAGATATAAATAAAATCGCACGTTTACGAAGAATGACGTGTTTGCCAAGAAGTTCAATCAATTCAGGTTATTTATTTGTGAGTATAGACCGGTACAAACTTTATTTTTAATTCAATATTGGCTAATTAAACATTGTAATTTCAAGAATCACTAGAACTTCCCTCCAGGCAAGATGGCGTCGCACGCGCCATGCTTGTAAACATTTAAGCAGGTCGTCAAGTTACGTGTTAATTATCATTTTATATTAATTACATACAAATATTATCCATTCGAAAAGTCTTCGACGGTTTTAAACTCTCAAGATTGGATTAGGATTAGACCGGCGAAGACATATTTTATTTACTGTCATAGTACGTCCTCGTCGATTCGCCTAGTCTGTGACCGTTTTGTGTCACGTGACTGACCTTTAAACATCAATAATGTTATTTAGGATTTTTATAGTAAATTAATAGTTTTTTAGTAATTTATCGAGTTATGGAGTAAATGACACTTTTTTAATATGTATTTTATAGAAAATACTCTCTATAACACTTGATTTTTAATACTATCAAATAGGTTATATATTAGCTTCATATTTCTAAAACGTATCTCAATATGCGTGATAATGTGATAAACTTGCTTGCCACTCGAGACAAGATTTTAGTTAAACTTTTATAGATACAGATTATAAAACAAAACACTTAGACAATATACAAAGCAAAAAATATATATAAAACAGAAAACATAAGTAAGTAAAAATAGAAGAATACTAAAATAATAATATAGTTTTTCTTTGAATTAATATTTCAAAGAAAAACTAAATGTTTACTGCTAAACAAAGTCAAAGTCTTCCCGCCTCTACAAATATTTCCTCACATCCTTTTTGGTGACGTGGAAAATATCAATATCCTCATAATTAATTCAAACATGGAATTTCTGTTACTGCCCAAAAGTTACCAGAAGTTGCGGTTATAAAACGAAAATAAACCAACATACTGTGCAGAATAGTTCACACCTAATCATGTCTATACTGACTCAGTATTTCTACACATTGCGAGAAACAAACTCGCCTTCGCATTTTTTAATCTTAATAAGAGTGAACATATCTGTGGAATATTTTAACTGTGGTTGATGTGAGTATTTTGACAAATACAACCTCACATACAAAACTAACTACCAGAAGAACATGTGTGTCCCACAATCGTCAAATTAAATATACATTTTCATATAACTTTTTCATAAATTGTATAAACATATATTTCTGATTAATATTAAACTAATGCAATCTACTAATAAATGCAACTAATAAATAATCTTCCAGGCAACCCAAGATCGTGTAATTACAAATTACGACTAAAAAGCTTGTATCCACTGTCATGTACATTAAAAAAAATATTACAAATAACTAAGAAAAAATACCATAAACAACACAACTAATGTAAAATGGCGCGAAATATTAGGTCTAGTTGTGACCCAGATGTCAACCTTTGTCCTTGTCTATACTCTATAGTTTCAGCTTTCGCAGATCTGTGAAGGTCTATGACAATAATTAATAAGCATAGTTTAATACTTTTAACGTTTTGTGGTTATCTAATATATTTAAAAAAACGTAATAAAAACCAAAGAACAAATGAAAGTGTTATTTCATAAAAACTCAAACGTTTCTCAAAATATTAATAATTATTATTAATTGAAAATTGATTGAAATTTAGTTTTACTCAGAGTCGATTCAGTTAATAAAGTTAACAGATAGACTTACGCCGGCGTAGAGCTAAGTCATTCATTTCTCTCTGCACTAAAAGTGATTAAAATTATGTTGAAAACTTTTATTGTATGTTAAAAGAACTGTCAACTATTTTTATTGTTCATCTCTTCTTTAGTAATTTGCAAATTTAATTTTTTTCCATTTTCTGGTCAACTTCTACAAATCTTAAAATTCTCAAATTAAATATTTCTTATAATATTTATTTAATACATATCGTCCGCCAAATCCTATCGAAAGGTGGCCTAGATTATCCAAATTATGACTACATTACCGAATCTCGACCAACTATTACATTTGGACAATAAATTATACTCTTCTATAC